AATCGTAATGGTAATGATGATATGAATGATAATGATGATAGTAATAGTGATAATAAAGATAATGAAAATAATAATAATGATAATGATAATATTGATGATGATAACTTTATTGATAATGATGACAACAACAACAAAACAACAGCAACAACAACAACAATAATAATGATAACAATAATAATAATATTAATAATAATAATAATAATAATAATAATAATAATAATAATATTAATAACAATAATAATAATGATAATGATAACAATAATAACAATAACACCATCGATAACAATAATAACAATAACACCATCGATAACAATAATAACAATAACACCATCGATAACAATAATCACAATGATGATAATGGCAATAATGATAATGATAATAATGACAATGATAGTAACACTGACTGTAAAAATAATAATGCTGATTATGATCATAATAATAATGATTATAACAGGAAGAACAATAACAAAAACAATAACAAAAAACAATAATAACAATAGTAATAATTGTAATAATAATTTAATAATAACGATAACAATGATAATAATATGAACATTAATAATGATGATGCTCATAATACTAATGATAATTGAGAGTAATGACGATGAAAATTTTGATAATAATTTAATGATAAAAATAGTAAAAGTAATGAATGATAATAATGAAAATAGTAATAGTAGTAGTAGTAGTAGTAGTAACAATGATGATGATGGTGATGATAATAATAATAATAATAATAATAATAGTAATAATAATAATAATGATAATGATAGTAATAATGGTGATAATAATGATGACAACAACAATTCAAACGATCATGATGATAACTATAATTATGATGATAATGATGATAATAATGATAATGATGAAAATGATAATGATAATAATAATAATAATGATAATAATAATAACAACAACAACATCCATCCCAATCAAAAAAACAACAACATCCAATCCCAATAACAACAACAACAACAAAAACTTCCATAAAAAATAAATAAGTAATAATAAAAAAAATCTCTCCCTCTCCCCCCCCCCCTCTCCCTCCTTCAGGAAACCCCCACCCCCCGAAGAAGCCAAGGGACCTCGCACTCTCGCTCTCGTCACAGGCCCTGAGGAAGGCCAAGTGGGCGTGGCCTCAGCAGCATCTCCCGGGATAAGCATCTCTGGGGCCAGCATCACCTTCAACAGGCCGGCCAGAGTGGAGGAGGTTTAGGATCGTCGATGGTGATGATGGTGGTGGTGATGATGGAAGAGGAGGAAAGGAGGAAAGGAAGATGGTGATGATGGTGGTGGAGAAGGAGAAGATAGGGAGGAACGGAAGATGGTGGTGATGATGATGATGATGGAGAAGATAAGGAAGATGGTAATGATGGTGATGGTGGTGGAGAGGAGAAGGAGACAAAGAAGATGGTGCTGATGGTGATGAAGATAAAGTGGAAAGGAGGATGGTGATGATAGTGGTGGTGATAGTGATGATGATGATAATGATGGTGAAGAGAAACAGGAGGAACAGAGGACGGTGGTTGTGGTGATGAAGATAAGGAGAGTGATGATGGTAATGGTGATGATGAGATGGTGATTGAGAGGATGATGGTGAAAATGATGGTGATGATGAGGTTCTCTGTCTGATGGTGATGATGATAATGATGATGGTGATGATGATGATGGTGAAAAGGATGGTGATGCTATTATTATTATCATTATTATTATTATTACTATCATTATTATTATCATTATTATTATTATCATTATTAACCTTATTATTGTTATTATTATCATTATTATTATTATCATTATTAACCTTATTATTGTTATTATTATCATTATTATTATTATTATCATTAACCTTATTATTGTTATTATTATCATTATTATTATTATCATTATTAACCTTATTATTGTTATTATTATCATTATTATTATTATCATTATTAACCTTATTATTGTTATTATTATCATTATTATTATTATTATCATTATTATCATTATCATTGTTATCACTATTGTCTATTATAATTTTTGGTAAGAAATTCACATTTTTATTCCCAATCTTTCCATACTTATCATAATATCTTCTCTTCTTTATTTACTAAATTAAACTAACATTAGCTTCTGTGATTAATAAGTCGCGCCCTAATGACTCTGTAATTAAAGGCGAATATTGATGATTGGGCATTAAGGATTGAGTCTTCAGTGTATATTAATAAATTTGTTATTAAAAGCTCAGATGCTGGTTAGTTTTAAACAATGGACTGTAAATTATCAGGAAAAAAATGTGTAAATGAATAAGGAAATGGTTGAATTGTAAATGTTTAATTAGATTAAAGTGTAAATTATCTAAGAAGAGGTGTATATGTATATTGCAAAAAAAAGACTAACACGTAAATGGTTTTAAAAATCTTACGTGTAATTCATTAAAAAAAATACGGAAATGCAAATTATTATTATAATTTTTCAATTGATTTTTTTTATTTTTTTTATTTAGGTAATTTTGATATATGTAAATCGTGTTGATACAAATGCAATACATCCCATTATAAAGACGAAAGAGATTTAATCCAAACACGAATTCTCAAAATCTCTTTACAGTGTTATCTTTCGAAAACCTTAATCTGTTTGTTGTGTCCTATTTTTCTTCTTCAAAACACTGAAATGTACTTTATCTAATAAATAAATTCTATGGAAATTATCGTAATGAAATGATGACCACAATTCATAGTATCATTTAATATGCAACCTAAACCTATACACATTTATAAGGTACGGAAACAACCTATAAAAATAGAAAAAGAAAGCAGTCAATAATAATAATAACAATGAACACTTGAAAACAGGAAAACAAGGAATAACCCCTTATATTTATTTCTTAATAAACAACTTAATTCAACCACCCCGTATTTATGTTCTGTTCCCTTTAGTTTTTGGTGCATTTTATCACATACAGATGGCTCCACATGTGCTCAGCTGACAAGGAGTCTATCAGTAGGCCCTAATTTCTGATCCTGATTTCACCATTCCTTGAATTGGCGGGAAAATGTTTTTTTCTTCTTAACCCATTGGTGCCGGGTATGACGTGTACGTACGTGCTATGCCCACAGTGAGTACTTGAGTTTGATTGTTTTTACGCATAGATGGCAACACTTGAACTAACTCCCCAATGAGCCAGTTACGAGCACCGCCCGTCTCGCCCGTTTACCCGTTTCTTTGATTTACAAAATATTTTATGTTATCTTATTTTGCTGTTACTAATGTTAAAAAAAATTATAAAAATTATAATGTTTATGATAAAAATAACACCATCGATTTTCATAGCACTAGTGAAAAATACGTTTTTCCCGCCATTTAAATCAAGCGCTAGCAGAGCCATCTATCGGCAGACATTTCACGAAAAACATAGAAAGTGGGCACAATATTTTCCCCATTTTTTGTTCATTTTCCCCGGCACCAATGGGTTAATACTATGTATTATCAATACTGTTATTATCGTTATTGATGTTATGATTTTTAAATTGTTATTGAAATATTCTAGACAATGAAATTATATAAATGACCCTTTTCTAAAGTGAAGGAAAAGGGTAAACAGGTGAGATAGGTAGTTCTAATAACTGGCTATTTGGTGATTAAGAACTTGTAGAGCCATCTATGTGTAAATACAATAAATAGATTTGTATTACAGTGGGCATGGCATATATTCTTGCCACATGGGACGATTGGGTTAAAGCAATGAAACAAACAAAAAAGAAGAGAAACAATTAAAAAAACAAACAAACTTGAAAACAGACAAATAAAGAATATTATAGTTAATATTCATATATTAGAATATTATGTAACCTAATCTGAACACAGCTATAAGGGAAACAAGCAACAAACAAACAAACAAAAAAGAAAACGTAACCAATAATGATAATAACCACAACAACCAAACAATGATAATTATAATAATAATAATAGCAATAATAATAAACGCGTTGACGATAGCAAAGTAATGAATTAAAGCATTTTATATCATAACTAATATGATTAATAGCATTTCTTACAAGAAAAAAAAGAAAGGGAAAAGAAGAGGAAGGGAGACAAAGAAAGAAAGAAGAAAAATAAAAAAGGAAGAGAAAATAAAATAAAAGAGAGAAAAAGAAAAAAGGAAGAGAAAAGAAAAGAAAAGAAAAAAGAGAAAAAGAGAAAAAAGAAAAAGAGACTGAAAAAGAAAATGAAGAAAAATAAAAAAGAAAGAAAGAAAAATAAAAAAGAAAGAAAGAAAAATAAAAAAGAAAGAAAGAAAAAGAAAAAAAGAAAGAAAAAAATAAAAGGAAAAAAATAAAAAAAAGAAACAAGAAAGAAAGAAAATAAACAAATAAAATTGAAAAAGAAAAAAACAAAGAAAGATAGAAAGAGAGAAAAAGAAAAAAGCAATAACACGTTACTTTCTGTATAAACAAGAATCACCTTCCCTTCAAAGCAAATCACATTGCATTCACACACGGCTACAAATCAGACGTTAATACATCACGAGAAACTTTAATAATTCCCTAAATAGATAATAGTTAGCTAATAAACTATTCAATGGACATGATATAAAATTTCTTTAATTATTTTCATTAATTTGGTAACATTAAGCATATGAATAAATCAGTGAATAAATGGATATAAATAATCACATAACGATAATAACCGTATTAATAAAATGAACACTTAACTATTTGTTTTCAATTAAATATTTACTTATTAATTTTCTTATTCAGTTTAATATTTTCTTATTGTTATTTATTAAAATTATTTATTAATTCTTATTGTTATTTATTTATTTTGTTATTCATTTCATTAATATTTTCTTTTACGAATCTTATCTCGCCTATTTACCCCATTCCTTGATTTTCGGATAAAAAAACAAACAAACAAACATATATATTATCATTATATATTGCTATTGATATTTTTTATATAATATTTTAATCATCATAAACGTCAGCAACAATAACATTAGGGAGAGGGTGAAATCA